AGCGGTGGGTAGCAGACGGTCGTTGAATGGGGTAGGCCAAAAGGTCATCAGTTTGCCTTCTCCATGCTGTTTTCACAATGAAAATCGAGCGAACTTTGTAAATACGGCTAGAATTTAAATTTTTGTTCGAGTTTACATGCAATCTGCTAATATATTTGTTTATTTTCTGTGCATATACATTTCGTTCGTATTTACTTCTTTCTTTCATGATCGGAAGACGATTATTAAAAATACAGCTGTAAATTGAAACCACTGTAGTTGCGTATCGTGAGCAATAAGTGGCAACAATGTCGGGCGACAATGAATTCAAGCGATTGACACATTGCCATGAATACACTTGATAGCTGCTTGCAGACTTCCAATGGACATTGTTTATGTTTGGACAGTTGAAACAATAGCAAAATAAAGGGTTGGGCAACTACTTTTTTTGTTTAGGCTTGGGAAGAACAATGCAAGCTTTTTACAAATAATTTCAGCTGGATGTACGTTGGTGGGCGGGTGTTGAGAGTTACTGGGCGGCCGTAAAACTTGATGGGCGGGCCGCCCGCCTAAAACCCCTTGTGGAGAACACTGCACAAGTAAACACTGATAAGATGTGTTGGTAAATACAGCCAAACAAACAATAAATATAAACACATAAACACATAAACAATTGCGGTAAATATGTAAAAGATATTTATTATTATTATTATATTATTATTATTAGTTAAATATGTTAACTGTCTATGAATGATGTCTGGAAATATTAGTCCCTGAGACATAATCTATGATCATATTTTATTTAAACATGTGTATAGTTTTCTAACCACAATCTCAAAGCATAACACAATATCTCTCAGCATATCAAAATAATATCCCAAAAATAGACACAATTATAACTCCCAGCAGAAAACAAGCAATGGTTTTTTTAGCATAACACGATCGATATCTCATTATAAGGCATACAAGAGCAATATATTTATATCGCAATACATTCATCGCAATATATTTATATGGAATCCTTGATTGTATAAACAACACTGATATATATATAATTACCTGGAAACACAAAAAACATGCCATCTAATGCCTTGACTGGAATTGGAAAACATCGTTCCATCCCTTTATTCCACCTTCCATTGTTAAATTGAAGCAATTCGTGGAAGGTTTGAAAGTTCAGAAGACGGAGTAATTCATACTTCTGCGGTCCAGCCAAAGTAATTTTCTTACTTGACGAAAGCTTCACTGTATTCCGTGGAGTAAGCCACTACGTTAATAAGACAAAATTATATGTTGTATGATAACACAAATAATGTGTACATCGAGACACTGATCCCAACAATGTCTCAACTGATATATCAAGTGTGACAGTGGTAGGATGGCGACATCAAATGTTTGTGGTTGGCCCTAGTAATTTGGAGGAGGGGTACTACTGTACAATATATTGTTTTCCATCATATTACTATTGAACTGGATTTTTTTTCATGATAATGTAATTTTTTTTCTCTAATTTGTTTGCCCCTGTAATTTAGATTACGTTTTTAATTAATATTAAAGAGCGATGGTCGTCCCACCGTGCCCTGTCCGATATGGGACACACGCCACGGTCAACATTTCGGACCTTCAATGAGTTTAATATGTGCGAGATTTGGTACCAGACATTTCAAAATTCCTGATCGTAGTGCATTTTAAGAACCATAATGGTGCTAGAATCGATCTTTGATTGGATGACAAACTGACTATATGTATACATATTCTCGCCTCATTTTTCCATTTTATTTATTTTGTCAGTTTATTCTCTTATTTTGATTTTTTTGTCTTTTTCTTTACATATACTGTTTACTTACTGTGAACTTGACTATCTCCTTGTCATCGGGAAGCAGCTTTACCCCAGGGATTTCATCAAGGCAACACAGAAAGAACACCGTGTCAAATCTTGTTGATATAGTTGCAGGTGTCAGCCACACATTCCATTCACACAACGCCCACACGTTTGGGACACATGTCAGCTGTTTGCAAAGGTCAATAAACTCTGAGGCATTGTTGTGAATTCGATGCCGCCATTTTAATAGTTTGATACGGCCAATATTTTCTACAAACTGCTTAATTTCGGACCATTCGGTGAGCCTGTTTCCACAGTTGCAGATTCCTGGAGATAGTGGTTTTACAATAAGCAGACCGGATTCTTCAAACGCCTCTCGCATTGCACATATTCTGAAGGCAATCTCATTAGGAACTCGGCTACTTCTAATGGTTGACATTATCTCTGGTCTCTTGCCACCGATATCTAGCAGAGGTTTCAGAGATGGTGTCAATCCCGCATTGTCGTATAATTCCATCCATTCATCGCCGAAATCGCTCTTATCTATTGTACCACCGGGAAATACATATGCATCAGGAAAAGAACTGCTCTTCGAGTGTCTTTTCATCATAAGAATTTTAAAGCCATCCTGGTCAGAATGAAAATCATTGCTTGAAATACGTTGATAGTTTGATACATCTGAACTTCGAGCAGCAATAATCACAGTGGCAGCTTCCCGCCACGGTTTCTTGACTGCCGCCATGACCAATCTGTAAAACAGGGCGACAATCAGCGCTGCGCCAGTATGTATGCTGCTTTTTGCTCGGAGTCCAAAGATCAAAGTTCAATTTTTGCTATTTTGCTTAAGTATTGTAGCGTGTTGTTTGTCCCTTTTCATTATGTACTATTGTTGTCTATTTTGTTGTACTGCCATCCAATAATACGGTGTTCGTTTGTAAATCATATTATTATTTGTATGTCATATTTGCAATCCTGATCAGAATGAGAATCACTGCTTGAAATACGTTGATAGTTTGATACATCTGAACTTCGAGCAGCAATTATCACAGTAGCAGCTTCCCGCCACGGTTTCTTGACTGCCGCCATGACCAATCTGGAAAACGGGGGCGACAATTTATTAATGACATAAATATTACCCTAGACCATGAATCATGTGATCAACCTAATTTAAATAACACACCAATCATCTATCTAATGTATGCAGATGATACTGTTATTCTTTCTAAATCAAAAAAATACACACAGAAATGGAAACTCGCTGTGAACACAGAAAAAACAAAAATTATGTTTTTTAAAAAAAATATTATTTATTTATTCGCCAACATAGGCAATACAAATTAGCATTTATACTGGAACAAACTAGACTAGTTTGTGCTACTTTATCAATAAGTAACATTGGCCCACGATACCTGTCAGATCTTCAACATAAATACCATCCCACTAGACGATCGTATATTAACAAAACCACGCACCAAGTCTAAATCATACGGTGAACGCGCTTTCCAATTTTCAGGTCCAAACACTTGGAATTGCATACCCTTTTCAATCCGCCATTCAGTCTCACATTCATCATTTAAGAACACTAAAAACATATCACAGTAGTAAATTGTACTATTTTGCATTTGTTTTTCTTTTCTATAGTTCTTGTGAATTTTATTGATAGACTTAAATTTATGTAATGTAATGCGCATAGAGCTCATTTTATGGAAATATGCGCATGATAAGTCCTCGTCATACTAATAATATATATCACGCGAGGACTACCGCCGTTTAAGGATCTTGTAATAGTCACACCCAAGTAATTGTACGAGTTAGTTTATATCAATTTTAATTTACCCAATGACAAGTTTGTATTCTTTTTGTTTTGTCTTCTGCCAAAGTACATTATTTCTGCTCAATTTAGCATGCTTTGCATGTCACTGGGCTTGTTGGCAATCGATACTACATCAGTAGTCCTGGTATTATTTGTTTACCTATCATAACTCCTAATTTTGAATTCATTAACATTTTTGTAATATATAATGAGAAACGTAATGTACGCAGGATACATCTCGCTTAACTCCTTCAGTCGTTTCAAAATAGTCTGTTTAAATTTCATTAAATGTCACCAAATTACATACATTTTCATACATTTGTAATCAATTATCTTCAACAAATCCACTCTTATCCCTGTGTCAGGGGTAAAATCTTTCTACTGGGTTCTCCACACTTGTCAGGGGGGAATCTCGTCTCGTCTCTATATCTCGTCCCCTTGAGGTACGGGATCGGGAAAGTCACTTTAACTTTACAGTCAAATAAGACACACACAACGAAATACGTTTCAGCTCTCGTCTTAGTCGGTCAATCGAGCACTCTACCGGACACAGCGCCCTGGGGAAAAATCCCCAAAACTCTCACAAGGCTGAACCAAGACTCGCCCAAGACTGGACTGCCTCAAGGCTCGCCCCTGGACTGGACTCTCGACTGCCCAGGACTGCACTCTCTCTACTGCGTCTATCGTGCTGTGCTCCCCAAGACCAACTCAAACTCTCTTTATTCATTTTCAAAACTCTAACCAATTACAAAACAGTAAAAAGACTCTAGGGCGTAACCTTCAATCAGAAAGCCAATCACACTAAGTACTGAATACGTCATATCTTTTGATTAATCGTTCACTACATTAATAACTACGGATGTAAACTGTCAGAATGAGTAGTCTAAAAAGCGGCGGTTATCTGGTAATTAGTTCCAAATCACTGAGCCAAGTTCCGTCCAAAACTTCAAATAGGCCTAAACGATGACAGACATAACACAGCAATTCAGCTAATAATCAACTAATTACGTCGGTCAACAGATAGCAAAAACAAATTCATGACACCTGCATCCCACAGAGTCACCTTTAGACCATCACGCAACACTCTATCGAAAGCTTTTGAGCAATCCGGAAAGGCAACATATGCTGATTTATTGTTTGATAGAGCAGAAATTCCTTTTGAAAAAAAAAATTGTCGTCACATCTTGTATCATGTCTAATCCCACCTTGGATTTCTCCAAGTATGTTGTTGTATGAAGTTTCAATTCAAATATTGTAGTATATAATTTTGATATGCATGCGTTTAAAGTTATTCCTCTATAATTATTTAGGTCTTTGTGGTCATTCTTTTTATGAACAGGTTTTATCACTCCTTGCTGCCACTCCTGTGGGATTTTATTGAGTTTCAGAAAGAAATTGAAAAGTAAAGTTAGTGACAGAGCCAAAGTTTGACCGTCGTGTTTGTGAAATTCATTAGGAATACAATCTGGACCAGCTTATCCTGATTTAGCTATATTTATAACTTTCTGTTCATCTTCATGTGTTATTTCTGCTTCTAAGGCCTTGTTCATTTCCTCTGATATATATTCAAATAATGTGCAGAGCATAACATCTGAGAAGACCGTTTTGGTGTGCGATAACGTACATTTCATTGACCTTTGGACAGAAACATTTATACCAATACAGAATATATCTTTTGTAATTTCCCTGTAATTAATTCCATGAAGTGAATGTATTCATGACTATATCTAAATGACATATTTAGCTCATCCTTACAATTATAGTGTGTTTTGCTGTCAAGTATTAATTTAATTCCTCGTTGGACAAAAATGTAATTTTAGAAATATTCATCGCATATGGCTAGCTCAATGGAATATGACGTAACGTTGGGTTTTTATAGCCAATGGTGTATTTGTAACGTAGAATGCAACACTATTTGCCCTTATTGTGTGTAAGTGTCAGTTGAGTTTATTTATCAGATGTCTGTGGTGACGGAACTTGTCTTTACGGTGCATGCAATGCAACTAACGATGGATGCGACTGTGATGTTGGATGGACAGGTGACACCTGTAGTAAGTTTCAAATGTCATTCTTTATTTCTTAGACCATCTTAGAAGGTGTGCTTGTGGAGAAAACGACACCATTATTAGACAGTGTCGTCTTATAGACAGTACTTCTAGTGGATATAAATATATAATTCACATAGTGACGAATATTTGTATACAGAACACGTAATCAGCTAAATTAGATTTATATAAATCTTAAAACAGCAGATTTGACATTGTTGTCCAGGATCCCCGAGAGTCTGTTTTGTGTACATGTGTTATGTGATGTTTAGTGTTATAAAAACGTGTCGTGTATGTAAACTTGTTTGTATATATAGGTACGTAAAGATATCATATATGTTTATTTCAGGTGTATGTAACAATGATGACGTGTGTATGTATGGTAACCATGAAATCAACAGCTGTGAATGCGATACAGGATGGGCTGGCATCACGAGCAGTGAGTTAGCCACAGCCAAAATAGCAATACAAGAATACAAGTAAACTTCACGTGTTATATTTCACAGTGTAATAAATACATTCTGTCATTATACATCATAGATGAATGTGATTCGATTGACGCATGCATACACAGGTCATGTTCTGCAGACTGCACAATGGACCGGCTGGATGGGAGATGAATTTGGTAAGAAAAGAATTCTAAGCTATGTAAATACATTCTTTTTATTGTAATAGGTGTCAATCAGAGTTCTTAGAAAGTAGGTTGTTTTGAAACTCAAAAGCTAACATGTTTGTGATTTAAATTTTTCTCACAGATGCACGTGGCTTTGGTACATGTTTCAATAGTCATTGTAATTCTACTGGTAATGAGCGGGTGGACTGGAGATAGCTGTAGTAAGTACTCGTATGCTTCAATAGACTGACACTAGTTTTACAATACGAATTATAATAAACTGATCATATTCCAGGCAGTGCATGTCTGAATACATTGGTAAGTTGAACTACTTCATTTTAACGATTCTTTTACCTATTTACAGACAAGTGCGATCCAGGGGTGACCTGTATCCATGGTACATGTAACAATGACCTTTCGGGATGCGACCGTGATACAGGATGAAGCGCCGACATATGTGGTACGACAGTATAGACAAACATGTATCCATATATTTGTTGGTTTCCATTACTGTCAGTAATACTATTTGTATTTCTCTGACAACCAGTTCACCAAAAATCACTATTTCAGATACATGTGGTACCAACTAATTTCAACAAGAACTTGCATGGAACACATAAGTGGTGCTACAGCAATTGTATTAATGTATCCAAGATATTGAAACGACAATCTTTTCCTGATGAAGATGAAAGTGAGCCAAGTACTTCAAAGAGTTGAAGAACAACACATGTGTATTGTTTCCTGCAAAAGCTGGTATAGTTTTTAACGAATGCAAATATGTCAATTAAAGATGCTGCAATGAAAAAGCAAGACCAACTTGTGTTGGTCAAGGTGCAAGATGTTGACCAAATTGCATACTATCACCCGCTTGTCGTAAGGATTATACTCGTACAGGAAAGGAACACTAAGAATAGGAAGGCCATCACTGTCAGAAGTTATGGCTAGTGACACCTGTCTGATGATGATTTCACAGTATGAAACATTCAAGGCTAAAATTTGCAGAGAAGAGCTTGGAAAAACAGCTCAATACTGGATCACTTATATGGATAATGTATGGCTCATCCTACGATTTATCAAAGCAACAAAGGAGAACAACTTTGATCTTCATTGTAATTGTCTCCATGAGCTCATTCCGACGTATTTTAGCTATAATCATGTAAATTATGCCCGATATGCTACAGTTTGTCTGATTATACTCCTTAATTTGGACAAGTCACATTCTGGTGATGAAGAACTTCTAAGGCAGAATGGATTTAGCGTGAATAGGTCAG